GAGGGAGGGAGGGAGGGAGGGAGGGAGGGAGGGAGGGAGGGAGGGAGGCCGGCAAACTGATAAGTCACTTTCTCCTTTGGAGCTCTGAGGAGGAATGATGAGCACTTGACTGGAACCATGGCCAACTTGTAATTTCTTGCTTTACAAGGCACTTAGTTTATGTAATGGAGTGTGTTTTTACTTCTGAGGAGAGCACTCTAAACAATTCTAATAAAAATACATGCTATTCAACAGGCAGGCATGCAATTTATCTTTAATCTAAAGGTAGAATTAAGCCACTAATTACAGATCAGAGATTTAAAGCTGAACAAGCTGAGAAATTTAATTTGCATATAATTATCATGCTTAAGAGTAAAACCCTTTATTCCATTACTGGATCTGTCAATACAAACAATGGCACTGTTCTGGCAAATACCAACATGCACACTATGCTGCCTCCAGTGACTACTGCGTTCTATCGGCTGAGATAGGAAGGCGGACATTAGACAGCATCTTCTTTAAATATCACTGAGGGCTCTATACATCCTAACAGAATGTCCGCAGTGGCAATCTAACAGACTAAATGGCCTTCCTCCGTAGGGTGCGGCTCTAGACAAACTCACATTCTTCCCTCTCAGTCAACATCTTCTCCCCCACACCACCAAACCTAGACACTCAAAAAGTGAACCAGAAGAGGAAAAGCACTTTTCCTAATAATATTGATGGCTACAGGTTAGGCCTGGTCTTGCCAGAAAGGGCTAATGTTACCATCCTTGATTTACCCGTGAAACGAGAAACTTGGAAGTTCTATAACATCAGTACTAATGTCAGATCAACCATCCAGTTTTCTTGCTTAGTGTCTCGGAAAACTCTTAAGAATAGTCTCAGCACACTCTTGATATCCGGAAGCTCTACTCCTAGGGACAGTCTAGCACTGATTGGCCAAACATCACCTGAGAAGAGCTGGCCCTGCCACCTCTTTTGCCCCAACAGCCGAGCCACACAAAGCCACTCAAGTCCTCTAAGCAAGACAAACACTTCTTACCAAACCTCTAGCACCCAGCTCCCTGTGGTTCCGGCTTATTCAATAACCACTACACATTACTTGCACACCTGCATGTTGGTAATAGGAGCCCATGTTGGTAATAGGGAGTCCTTTCCCCTAAACAATTTATTACAGAAGTTGATTACACCGTGAATTCAAGATCTAAAACTTTCCCATAATTGTAAAATCAGTTTTTCAATCTCAAATAAGACAGGAAACCATTCCATTCTGTCTGCTTATGATGCATGTACACACCCAAAATGCCAAAAAGCTTCAGTGAGGAAAGCTCTCACATAATCACTTTTAAATATTTGCCAAAAATCTCTCATCAATCATGTAAGTTAAAGTTAAATTTATTATGAAGTTAAACTGTTTACAAAAAATACACATACAGGACATAAAGTTGAGCTCACTTACTTTCTGCTCAGGATGTTCCTGAAATAGAAGTCCAAAGTAGTCCTTCTCCAAGAGGTTCAGGTGCTCGCACACTCTGTCAAACAACACTTGTCCCTTAGCACGTTTCTGCAGAAAAACAGAGCAAGTCTTTACTTTTCTAAAGGAGATGAAGAAAGTAAAAGAGGTTAGTGCGAAAGAGGTGAAAGGATGCACAGGACAGAAAAGAAGAAAGGGGGCTGGGGTGGGAGCAAATGGGATGAAAATGGGGGAGAAGAGAAGCAAGACAAATTTTGTATGAAAACGCCATAATAAAATCTATTTTGTATACTAATAAAGTTTAAAAGATTATTTTTAAAGTACTAGTCATTTACTACAAATTAATATAAAGTATCTATTTTCTAATGGCCTAACGATGTAAAGTATAATTCTAAAATTCATAACAAAATGCATTCTGCTTTATTGATATTCTCATTAACTACTAGTGAGATTTAGAAAGCAAACTGCTGAGTACACATCTACTTAAGTGAACAGTAAAAACGTTCTATTTCAAGTTTCCCTTCAAAACCTGAACATGATTCATGACAGCTCTAAAAGAACACGGCCCTACAAAACCATTTGATGTGACCTCACACAAGTCATATGAACTCTGTCCTGTGACCCTGACTCATGTGACCTCACA